AATCTCAAAAGCATTATGATAAATGAAAGCCTGACACATTCCCTCTAAACAAAATTCTAGAAAACGCAAAATTTTCTATAGTGATAGAAAGCAGATTCGGGGTTGCCTGGGGGTGGGGAGAAGGGGATATTTACTGCAACAGGATACAAGAAAAAGGGTTATGAAAACATTCTGTGTCTTGATGGTTGTATACATTTTCTAAAGCCTACCAAACTGTATATTTTAAATGGAAGCATTTTATTGTACACTAAGTATCTACAATATATTGCAAAAAGGTTCACTAAAACCAAAAACAGAAAACAAAAAGACATCCAAATTCCCAAAGCCTCAACTAGCTGCTTTTCTCTCAGTCCCTTCCTGCTGATATAACAAAATACCACAGACTGAGTACTTTGTAAACCATAGAAATTTATTTTGCAGAGTTCTGGACCCTGGGAAGTCCATTATCAAGGAGCCAGCAGATTCAGTGTCTAGAGAGGCTGCTCTTTGCTTCCAAGATGGCGACTTTCTGCTGTGTCCTCTGGAGTGGGTAATTATTCAGTCCTCACATGGCAGAAGGCAGAAGGGGAAAAAGGATGAAGACCCCGAAAAGTCTCTTTTATAAGGGCCTTAATCCATTCACCAGGAAGGAGTCTTATGACTTAATCACCTCCTAAAGGTCCCACCTCTTTCATATTATTATTGCATTGAGGATATACAATGCCATCAAAAATATGAAATGGTAAATGTAACAGAGTTTATGCTTATTTTGGAGAGACACAAACATTTGAACCATAGCACTGCCCATTTCACGTTGGGTACAGGGTTAAAAAGGGAACATCTGCTATACAGAGCTCCCTCCCGGCAAATACGTACTTCAGCTTCTCAAGCCTTCACGTGGTTCCTTGCTGTGTGGAAGAGGAATTGACCCCGCATAAACCTCTACAGGAAGCCTGGGATGGAGGTAGGCTTAAGGGCCTGCTCTGTGCTCCCCCGACTCCTTAGCTTTCTGTGGGGAAGGAAGGGCACCTCCTTCCAAGTAGAGAGCTTGCTGTCCTCAGCTGCCAGGCTTCCAAAGGGAAGGGGAAGAAGGGTGTAAGGAACAGAAGACACTTGTCCTGTTTAGAACTCTCTGAAATGGCAGGCATTTTTTTAATTGATGACTCTGTCAGTGAAAACACTAGGGTGGAAGCTTTCCATGCCTTACCTTATTCAATTCTTTTAATAACCCTAAGTGTAATTCCTGTTACCGAGTTTGCAGAGGAAAAAGCAAAAGGACCAGAAAGACTAAGAAGGTGTCTCAAGCTTTCAGAGCCAGTAAACAGCAGAACAGAATCCAAGATGCAGGATGTCCAAGCTTCGTTCTCACCACCACAGGACCTTTGATCCCGGCTGCTCATGCCCACCCTTCCCCCTCACCCTTCCCCACGCACACACAGTTGGCAGTGGCAGGCTCATGTTCAGAACAGACAGTGCCTAGGCCTGGAACACGGAGTTCTGCTCCCGGCTCTGCTCCATCTACATCAAGAGTGCCCAAAGTTCAGACTCCCATTAAGTCATTTTCTCTATAATTCAAATACAGAAGTACTTTAAAGAGATATACCAGCATTCCTGCTATTCCCGTGTACTATAAATATGTAATTTATGAAGAAAATGGGAACTCTGTGTCATATCCGAATTGAGAACTATTTGAAGAAAGGAGAAAAAATATCCCGTCTTATTGAGTCATAGAGAAAAATAACTACCACATATCATACTAGTAAATAGGAATGTAAAAATAGCTTTTAGGAGGAAGTATAAATTAAAGGTTAATGTGGCCTTGAATTTATTTCAAGTATTTTTCATTAAGCGTTTTCATTTTTCATTTCCATAACCTGATCAATTTCTCCCTATTAAACCAAGGTCAACTAATTTTAGATGCTAACTTGGAAAGCCTTAAGATCAATGTGCTCAACTCCCTTTCAAAAGAAGAAACATAAGTCATCTTTTCTTTGCAAACAGATATCATGGCATATAGGGCATTAGTCACTGAAGAGCAAGATGGCAGTGGGGCCACAGCGGCTTTTTCTCTGGCTTGCCCAAGGCATGTAGTTCAGTGCAGGGTGGATGCCTCATTTTTCCTCTTCACAGGGAAAGCTGCCGTCCCTACTCTGACCACGTGGTCAAGTGGATGCTGGCACCGTGGCCACGCGGGTGATAAATCCACCAAGTGGGTCTGTCTCTTCAAGTCCTTTCTCAAGATTTTTCAAATGTGAACTAAAGAAAGAGAGCACTGCAGGGAACCTGGGGGCCCAGGCCTGGCTGCGTTTCTGGATGAGTGGGGAAAGGCTGACTGAAAAATCCCAGATGATCTGGGCCAGTTTGTTTCCCCAGCCACCAACCTGGTGCCTCCCAGGGGTTTTGTTACAGGTAGGATCACACACTATAGAAAAGACCCTGTGTCAGGAGCCCTGTGGGCTGCTTCTGTCCTTCTGGAACCCAAGCTGGAGTCACAGAATCCAAGAATTCTCAGCTGCCATTGATAAATAATGAAATATGCTTCCTAGCTCCTGCTCTGCCTCGGGCACTCTGCAAGGTATTTAATGCAATTCGCTTCATTTAATCCCCACAGCAACCTAAGGAGATAGGGACTATCGTAATCTTCATTTTACAGATGAAAAACAAAATCCAACTAAATTGGAGGCTGTGAGATGTCAAGTAATCTCACTAAGCTTTTCTCCATTACCCTAGGGAAGCTATAACCTTGCTTGCTCTAGATCTGGACTCTTTCCTAATCTTCCTTGTGTAGATGGGAACTACAAAAACAGCTCTAAACTAAAAGCCTGCTGCAAATGACCCCATGTTAAAAAAAAAAAAAAAAAATGGAGCTCACAAGTGGGAAGCTGAGCCCAGTATCTGGGGCCTTCCCAATATGACAACCCAACTGGGCATTTCACTTGCACACGACATGGTATCTGCACGTGGGCACCAGGGAGGGCAGCTGAGGGTGGACTTAGAGAAGACCCTCAAATTTCTGTAGAATAGGCTTTTTAAAAAAGAAACTTTATTGTGGTAAAATATACATAAAATAAAATTGACCTTTTTAGGTGGACAATTTGGTGGCATTAAGTACATTCATGCTGTGCCACCATCACCACCACCATGCATCTCCAGAACATCTTTACCTTCCCAACCTGAAAGTCTGTACCCATTAAACAACGACTCCCCATTTCTCCCCCAGCCTCCAGCCTCTGGCAGCTACCATTCTGCTTTTTATTTCTATAAATGTGACTACTCTAAGCACCTCATGCAAGTACCTATGCAGGACATGCTTTTAATGGCAAGTTTTCAGTCACTCCAAGGATTCACTGAGACCCACTCGTTGCCCAGCATTGTGCTAGGCTTTATGTGGGAAATGTATGATATCTCATTCCTGCCACTGAGATCATTCTAGTTGAGCTGTGAAGGCAAGGCTGGCTTCTGAGAAACAATGTGTCAGGTGAACGGCACTAACTTGGAGTTCAAGAGAAACTTAGATGAGGGAGAGCTCCTTAAAACATAGCATAATCTAAGTAGTTTTCATAAGGGTGATGACTCAGTGAATGAGTAGGAGGTTTGGTTGGGCAGAGAGGAGGATTTCAGATTAACTAAAGCATAAATCAGGCAGGCAGGCTGGATCATCCTGAGTGGTGCCAGCCAACACCAAAAGCAACAGCATGCTGATAGTTCCTCTGAGGACAGAGCGATAAACTCTAGATCTGCTTGTGCCCCCAAGCCACACACTCAGATAAGGATTTGCTTCTCTCCTATTGCAAAAGAGAGGGAAAAGAAAAAACTGACCAGGTGCAGTGACTCACTCCTGTAATCCCATCACTTTGTGAGACTGAGGCGGGAGGATAGCTTGAGCCCAGAAGTTCAAGACCAGCCTGGGCAACATGGCATGACCCCATCTCTACCAAAAAAAAAAAAAAAAAAAAAAAAAAAAATCAGGCAGGCATGGTGATACATGCCTGTGGTCTCAGCTACTAGGGAGGCTGAGGCAGGAGGATCACTTGAGCCCAGGAGGTCAAGGCTGCAATGAGCTATGATCATGCCATTGTACTCCAGCCTGGGCAACACAGTGAGACCCTGTCTCAAAAAAAAAAAAAAAAAAAAAAAGAATTTTTGAATGGTTGGGAGTTGGGGCTTGCTATTGCTTTTTGTAAGTATCACAGAAAACAGCTAAGCCAGCTCTTCTAGGCAAGTTTATTTTTCCTTTGGCAAAAAGAGTTTGTAAACACTCTGAAACTTGTGTGGATATCTGAACACCAGGGTCAGATCACATCAACCCTGACTACACTTGGACAGTGAGAACCCTGAAATCCCAGTGGGATAAGCCTCTAGATGTCCACTCTAGCCAGTCATGCCAGTCCTTTAAACAAGCAGGAGGGAGCCCAACCCCAAGGCTGTCAGCACTTTGAACAGGTGCACCAGTGGAGCGGTGCTCCCTGGAGACAAGGCTCTCTGTACAAGAGCTGCCTCCTCGGTCTTTTCCAAATCCCCTCCCACGGGGTTTGTCCTCTGCTTTCCCAAGTATAAGCCTCATTCAGGGACCCTAGTAGAGATGTCAGAACAAGAAGGCCTGTACCACTGTAGGTCCTATTGCTTTGCCTTTTCTTTTTTTTTTTTTTTTTTTTTTTTGAGACGGAGTTTCGCTCTTGTTACCCAGGCTGGAGTGCAATGGCGTGATCTCGGCTCACCGCAACCTCCGCCTCCTGGGTTCAGGCAATCCTCCTGCCTCAGCCTCCTGAGTAGCTCAGATTACAGGCATGTGCCACCATGCCCAGCTACTTTTTTGTATTTTTAGTAGAGACGGGGTTTCACCATGTTGACCGGGATGGTCTCGATCTCTTGACCTCGTGATCCACCCACCTCGGCCTCCCAAAGTGCTGGGATTACAGGCTTGAGCCACTGCGCCCGGCCGCTTTGCCTTTTCTTTCCTTTCTTTTTATTTCCTCTCCGCCTTCCCGGTATGATATAGCAGTAAATAAAAGTACTCCTACCTGTAGACAAAAGCATTTCTCATTGGGTGTCACAGTAGATAGCTTTGATTTTGGCCATCCATTTAGCTGTATGCATATTAACAGAAACCACAAATGGGGAGCTATGTGGAGCAGACAGAAAGTACACCATGGGCCTTTATGAGGCATCCTAGAGTCCTAGGAGAGGAAAAATGTGAGATGGCAGTGAGCGGGTCCTGCCTGGATCCCCTGCCAGCCCCCCCATTCTCAGACAGTAGTAGTCATTTATGGTAAATAGATGTGTACACAACAAAGCAATACTGGGCAGTAGACTAATTCATCCTGAAAAGGAGTTGAAATTCTGAGATAAATCTCTATAACAGTTCTTCCTAACAGTTCCGAGAAACCAAAATCAGTATCAAATGCCTTGCTGAGGATTTCGATAGGAAAAGAACCATTTCTTTCTGCTACCAGTATTTTCCTTTCATTCCAGTGACATAGAAAAGGTCACCCCGGTCCAGGCATGGTGCCTCACACCTATAAGCCTAGTACTCTGAGAGGCCAAGGCAAGTGGATCATGAGGTCAGGAGTTTGAGACCAGCCTGACCAATATGGTGAAAACCCATCTCTACTAAAAATACAACAATTAGCCAGGCGTGGTGGTATGTGCCTGTAGTCCCAGCTACTCGGGAGGCTGAGACAGGAGAACTGCTTGAACCCAGGAGGCGGAGGCTGCAGTGAGCTGAGATCACACCAGTGCACTCCAGCCTGGGTGACAGAGCAAGACTCCATCTCGAAAAAAAAAAAAAAAAAAAAAAAAAGAAAGAAAGAAAAGGTCACTCCAGGGAGCACTATTCCCTAGAATGGGACACCCCAGCCGTGCAGGCCTCTGCACAGCAGCTCAGGCTCCCCAAGTACACTGAGACCAGTAACACACAGCAGTGAGACATGGGAACCGCAGACCGCACTGGAGTTAACTTCTTACCAGCTCCATCTCCCATCTATTCTCTTGTTTATTACTTTCTGCCACATATTGAACAGGCGGAATCTTAAAAATATCTCAGTTCTGGCCTACAATATTCCAACAGTCCAACTGGTCTACTCAGCTCTAGTCTGTACTTTCTCCAAACACGTCCCCCATGCTTGCCTGAGGTGGTATATTTAAAACATAGCTCTCACCATGTCACTCTCTTGCCTAAAACTACCTCAGGATAAACTCCAAGCTTAGCTCACTATGTTTCAAGCAAAAAGAGACTTCACATATATAATTATAGTAAAAATTTCCAGTCTCAAAGATAAGTTTTAAAATTTCATAAGTATCCAAGCCAAACGCCAACCAACAAAATAAACATAAAGTATACGTTAATGATTTCCTAATCATAAACGGCAGAAGATGGCTATGGTTTGAACATGTCCCCCATATATGTTGTGTGTGTGTGTGTGTGTGCATGCGTGTGTGTGTGTGTGTAATCTCCACAAACAGCTAGTCTGATAGACCATTGGAATAGCCTCTTAAAGTTTCAGCTAAAGTGCCATTTGGAGGATGATACCCTGCAAACATGAGATATTGTCCTCCAGAATAAATTGCATGCATTAAATCAATGATTTATGGGTCTGTGTCCCCAACAGCTAGAATATATGAGTCTTCAACACTGTATGAGCTTCCTATTACCACAAAACTTCAATCCATATTGTGCCTATTAATATTCATATAAAAGTAGCTGGACCATACCTTTACTCTCATAATTCCCAGTTCATCAAACTATCTTCCAATTTTTCCTAGATCCGCTAAGCTGCAAGCAGCTGCTAGCCACTGCATCCATTCCCTCAAAAAACGTAATTCTGAGGTTCTGATGAAGCCTAGAGAAAAACACTTTCCCAGTCAGTCTTTCCCACCCTTGCTCCCCATTCCAGCAACTCTGTTCCCCTGGTTTCATGTCTAATTTTAGGGGGCAAGATTTTCTTCCTCCTTCTCCTTCTCTCTTTTCCTCCCTTCTTCTCTACATCCTTCCCTCCCTGTCTTCTTTCTTTCAAACCCAGCCAAAGATGTATATAATTAAGGAAAAACTAAGTTATCCAGGCAATCAGGACAAAAGGAAAATAGGGGGGAAAAATAAAAGATGAAGTAAGAAGGGTAACGTTAGCACACAGAGAAGTTGACCATGTGGCACTTGCAGGTGCTTTGGGTTGAACTGTGTCCCTGCAAAAGATGTGTTGAAATCCTAACTCTGCGTACTTGTGAATGTGACCTTATCTGGAAATAAGGTGTTTGCAGATGTAATCCTGTTAAGACACCCATTAGGGTGGGTCTTAATCCAATATAACCGGTGTCCTTATAAGAAGCAGGAAATTTGGACACAGACAGACACCCATGTGGTGACAGAGGCAGCAAATGGAGGGATGCCACTGCAAGCTGAGGAACACGAGGTATTGCTGGTGCTACTGTTTGAATGTTTTTGTCCCCTCCCAAACTGATGTTGGAACATAAACCCCAATGTGCTGGGAGGCAGAGCCTAGTGGGAAATGTTTCAGTCCTGAGAGCCCTGCCCTCATGAATGGATTAATGCCATTACAAAGGGCTTGATGAAGGCAGTTTCTCCTCCTACCCCTTGCCTCCTGCCATGTGATGATGAAACCAGAATGCTCTCACCCAGTGCTGGCATCTTGATAGGGAACTTACCAGCCTTCAGAGCTATGAGCCAATAAATGCCTGTTCATTATAAATTACCCAGTCTCTGGTATTCTGCTATAGTAGGCATGAAATGGACTAAGACAGCCAGCCAGCACCAGAACCTAGGAAGAGGTAAGGGAGTACAAGGGGTACTTCAAAAAAAGTTCATCAATAATGTATGTCATGCTTGGCGTGGTGGCTCATGCCTGTAATCCCAGCACTTTGGGAGGCTGAGGTGGGTGGATCATGAGGTCAGGAGTTCAAGACCAGGCTGGCCATCACAGCAAAACCCTGTCTCTAATAAAAATACAAAGATTAGCTGGGTGTGGTGGCATGCACCTGCAGTCCCAGATACTGGGGAGGCTGAGATGGGAGAATTGCTTGAACCCAGAGGATGAGGCTGCAGTGAGCTGAGACTATACCACCGCACTCCAGCCTGAATAGGGTCTAGTCTGAGGCATGAAGGATAAGACTTCAGTTTGAAAACAGTCCATATCAGAGCAACATGAAGTCTGCTAAAGCAAGAATCAACCTCAAATTGATGGTGAAGCTTGTGGGGATGAATGGTAAAATCATCAGTGCTTTACAGAAAGTTTATGGGGACAATGTCCCAAAGAAATCAGATGTTTACAAATGGACAAGTCATGTTAAGAAGGGATGAGACAACGTTGAAGATGAGGCCCACCGCAGTAGACCATCTACGTCGATTTGCAAGGAAAAAATTCATCTTGCAAACATTGAGCCCTAACTGAAGAGGACCAACAATGAATAGCACAAACAATGGCCAACACCACAGACATCTCATCTGGGTCAGCTTACACAGTTCTCACTGAAAAACTGTTTACTCAATGGGTGCCAAAACCACTGTGCTCAGATCAGCTGTGCAGAGGAGCAGAATAAACAATGGGATCATTTCTTTGAAGAACTGGAACAGGAGATGAAACATGGCTCTACCAGAATGATCCTGAAGACAAAACACAATCACAGCAATGGCAAACAAGAGGGGAAAGTTACCCAGTCAAAGTAAAAGCAGACCAGTCCAGACCAAAGTTCATGGCAACAATCTGTGGGGACACTCAAGGCCTTTCACCTGTTGATTTTCTGAGAGGCCAAACAACAATAACATCTGTTTATTATGAGAGAGTCTTGAGAAAGTTAACCAAAGCTTCAGCCAAAAATCACCTGGGAAAGCTTCACCAGAGAGAGTCTTTCTCTACCACAACAATGCTCCTGCTCATCCCTTTCGTCAAACAAGGGCAATTTTTTGCGAGTTTCCATAGAAAATCATTAGGCTTCTACCTTACAGACCTTATGTGACTCTGTCTGATTCTTTTTTTTTTTCCAATTGATACAGTTTGAATATTTATTCCCCCCCAATGCTCATGCTGAAGTTTGATTCCCAATGTTGCAAGTAGGGCATAGCAGGAGGTGTTTGAGTCATGGGGGCAGATCCTTCAAGAACAGATTAATGCCCTCCCTGGAGGGGTGTGAGTTGTCACTCTTACTTCCCTCCAGATCTGGTTATTTAAACGTGTCTGGCGCCTCCCTCCCCCTCTCCTTCCTCCTATCTTGCCATGTGATGTCTGCTCCTCTTCCCCTTTTATCATAAGTGGAAGCTTCCTGAGGTCCTCACCAGAAGCAGATGCTGACGCCATGCTACTTGTACAGCCTGCAGAACTGACAGCCAAATAAGCCTCCTTTCAGGTATTCTTTTATAGCAATGCAACATGGACTAAGTCACTAATATTATTGAAAAAAAAAAAAAAAAAAAAAAAAAAAACTGGCCGGGCATGGTGGCTCATGTTTATAATCCTAAGACTTTGGGAAGCCAAAGTGAGAGGCTCACTTGGGCCCAGGAGTTCAAGACCAGCCTGGGTGACGTGGTGAGACTCTGTCTCTACACAAAATACAAAATTAACCAGGTATGGGGGCACCTGCCTGTAGTCTCTGCTACTTGGGAGGCTGAGGTGGGAGGACTGCTTGAACCCAGGAGGCCAAGGCTGTAGTGAGCTATGATCACACAACTGCACCCCAGCCTGAGTGACAGAGTGAGACTCCATCTCAAAAAATATATATATGTAAAGTGCACCCATTTTTCTTCAGTTAATGATGTATGAAAGACTGCACTGACATGACTAAATTCCCAAGATGCTGGGAATGGACTAGATGGCTGGTCTCATCGCCTAGAAAAGTGTCTTGAACTTAATGGAGTTTATGTTGAGAAACACACTTTATATTGCTTATTTTTATCCTTTAATTTTATTTTTTCCACAACCTTTTTGAAGTCCCCTCATATTCTTTCCTACAGGTTCCAAAGGTGACATAGCCCAGCTGACACCTTAATTTTGACTCACAAAAAAGATAGGCTCCTTTTATCTGACTTTAAAAATAAATCAAAAACACATCTTGTTAAGATAATCAACACATAATGCCAGCAGTCAAAATCCCACTCCTTTTCAAGCCTTGATTAAATGCTGCCACTTTCAAAAATATGTAGCCACTCTCAATTTATGATGGCACTCGAATATTTCCTCTTACATAATTGTTCACTTTCTTCTTGGAGCTGCATTTGTCTGTTGTACTGGAATATAATCCTCTTGAGGGCAGGAATAGTCTCCAGACTCCTGCTTAGCCTTAGGTGGTGCTTTGCCCATAACCAGCACTTACTAAAAACTCCTCTATGAACTAATGAAAATATTGTGTATCTCATTACATGGTCAGTTTAAAATTAAATGAATTTTTTTAAACACTCAAAGCAATAAAGCCTCTTATTAAAAGAATTGCCAGATACAATAAACTACAAAAATGTGTTCAAATATTTAAACATGAATTAGAGATGGCTTTAACCTGATTCATTTATACTAGTTACTTTCCTTATTTATTTGTTTATTTATTTATTTATTTTTAATGGGGTCTCACTCTGTCGCCCAGGCTGGAGTGCTGTGGCACGATCTTGCCTCACTGCAACCTCTGCCTCCAGGTTCAAGCAATTCTCATGCCTCAGGCTCCCAGGTAGCTGGGATTACAGGGACCTGCCACCATGCCCAGCTGATTTTTGTATTTTTCTAGTAAAAACAGGATTTTACTATGTTGGCCAGGCTGGTCTCAAACTCCTGACCTCAGGTGATCCACCCGCTTCAGCTCCCAAAGTGCTGGGATTATAGGTGCGAGCCACTGCACCTGGCCTAGTTACTTTTCTTTTTCATTTTTTTATTGATACAAAATATTTTTGTGTATTTATGGGGTACATGTGATATTTTGATGCATATATACAATATGTAATGATAGTCAGGGTTCTCAGGATACCCATCACCTTGAACACGTATTTCTTCACATTGGGAACACTTTAAATCTTCTCTTCTACTCGACATCACTAATTAGCGGAGAAATGCAAGTCAAAATGACATCATCTCACACCCGTTAGGATGGCTATTATCAAAAAGTCGAAAGACAGCAACTGTTGGTAAAGATTAGAGAAAAGGGGATGCTTGTATCCTGTAGGTGGAAATGTCAATTGGTGCAGCCATTGTGGAAAATAGTATAGAGGTTTCTCAAAAAATTAGAAATAGAACTACCATATGATCCACCAATACTACTTACTACTGGATATATTTCCGAAAGAAATAAAAACACTATCTCCAAGAAGTATCTGCAGTCCCATGTTAATTGCAGCATTATTTACGGAAGCCAAAAGATATGGTAACTAACAATCTAAGTGTCCACCAACCAACTGATGAATGATAAAAGAAACAGTGGTGTGTAACCGTGTTGTGTGTACACACACACACAGACACACACACACAGATATTATTCAGCCTTAAAGAAAAAGGAGGCCGGGCGCGGTGGCTCAAGCCTGTAATCCCAGCACTTTGGGAGGCTGAGGCGGGTGGCTCACGAGGTCAAGAGATCGAGACCATCCTGGTCAACATGGTGAAACCCCGTCTCTACTAAAAATACAAAAAATTAGCTGGGCATGGTGGCGCGTGCCTGTAATCCCAGCTACTCAGGAGGCTGAGGCAGGAGAATTGCCTGAACCCAGGAGGCGGAGGTTGCGGTGAGCCGAGATCACGCCATTGCACTCCAGCCTGGGTAACAAGAGCGAAACTCTGTCTCAGAAAAAAAAGAAAAAAAGAAAAAAAAGAAAAAAAGAAAAAGGAAATCTTACCATTTGCAACAACGTGGATGCCTTGTTGTTAAGAGCATGCTAGGTGAAATAAGCCAGACATGATCTCATACATATGTGGAATCTTAAAAATTAAAGTCAAACTCATAGAAAACAATCTTTTCTTCTAGTTATTTTGAAATACAATGTTAACTATAGTCACCCTTCTATGCTATCAAAAACTAGAACCCATTCCATCTTATCTGTTTGCTTGTACCCATTCACCAGCCTGTCTTCACTCCCCCACCCCTACACCCTTCTGCTCTCTATCTCCATGAGATCAACTGCTTTAGCTCCCACATATAAATGTGAACATGTGATCTTTGCATTTCTGTGTCTGGTTTATTTCACTTAACAAGATGACCTCTAGTTCCCTGCATGTTGCTGCAAATGACAGGATTTCATTCTTTTTTTCTGGCTGAATAGTATTCCATCATGTATCTATATCACATTTTCTTTACTGATCTGTTGATAGACACTTTGATTGATTTCAATCTTGGCTATTGTGAATACTGCGGCAATAAATGAATTCTTGCACCCGCTGATATATTGATCAAGAATCCCTTTGATATATTGATTTCTTTTCCTGATAAATAATCAGTAGTGGGATTGATGGATCATATGATAGTCCTATCTTTAAAGTTTTTTGAGAAGCCTCCATACTGTTTTCCATAATGGCTGTCTGGATATACATTCCCATCAACAGCATACTAGTTACTTTTCTTTTCATCAGATGTCCATAGCTGTAGTGTCCTTTGGGCCAGAAGAAAAGTAGTAACCTCATAGCTGACCTTCACATTGCAAAGTTATCCCTTTGAACAGCAATCCCCAACATTTTTGGCACCAGGGACCAGTTTCATGGAAGACAATTTTTCCATGGGTGGGGGTGGGGAATTAGTTCAGGATCATTCAAGTGCATCACATTTATTGTGCACTTTTTTATCGTTATTACATTGTAATATATAATGAAATAATTATACAAATCACCATAATGTAGAATCAGTGGGAGTCCTTAGCTTGTTTTCCTGCAACTAGATGGCCTCATCTGGGGGTAATGGGAGACAGTGACAGATCATCAGGCATTAGATTCTCGTAAGGGGCACACAACCTAGATCCCTCACATGTGCACAGTTCACAATCGTGCTCCCATGAGAATCTAACGCCCCAGCTGATGTGACAGGAGGTGGAGCTCAGGCGGCAATGCCAGCCATGGGGAGTGGATGTAAATACAGATGAAGCTTCCTTCATTTGCTTGCCCCTTGCTTACCTCCTGCTGTGCCACCACATTCCTAACAGGGCACAAAGGGTACTGGTTCATGGCCCAGGGCTGGGGACCCCTGCCTTTGAAGATGCCCAACCAGTTTCTTCTTCTGAAACCATTATTGGAATAGTGGATTGTATTATTGTACCCATTTATTTCTTGCCCTCCTTTTCAGAGTTTATTCAGCTCACTTATTGTTGATACAGATGGAAAACGGAAATACTGGGTAGAAGTCAGTTCCCTGGCAAAGGCCCCACCCTCAAGTCTGGAAACCCGTGGCTCTAAATAAGGACAGGCATTCCTGTTTTCATGCCCAAAAGTTACATTTTGGCCCTCCATGCCCCCCTATCCTGTACCCATATAAACTCCAGACCCTAGGCTCCAGCAGCAGGAGATGAGCAGATGAATAGAAGAGCAGAAGAACAGCATACAAAGAGAAAAGAGAAGAAATTTTGGGAGTTCAGTTGGGGACAGTCAGAGAATCCACCACTGGATAGCCAGACTCCAGGGGAAGATCATCTTCCTACTCCATTCCCTTTCCAGCACCCCATCCATCCCACTGAATGCCACACCGACCACCTAATAAACCCCCCTACTCCCCTAACCCCCCGCATTCACCATCCTTCAAAGCCACGTGTGACCTGATTCTTCTGGGACGTGGGACAAGAGCTCGAAATATGGAAGCTGTCACACTGACCCTCTGCCCTTGCAAAAAGGCAGAAGCTCTACTGAACTGGTTAATGCTTAAGCCATCAGCTGACGGCAAGGCTAAAAGAGCACACTGTTAACACGCACCCACCTGGGCTCGGTAATCACAGGCTCCTGCCCCTGGATACTGCCTTGTGGCTGGAAGCCCAGTGCCCTAGCTTTTGCACCCTGGCTCCTGCACCCGTCCATCTGCATGCTCACCATCCCATAAGGGGTTTGAGCAAGGCAGAGTGAGCACATGAGCCGCACCCCTGTTGCATGTCCTGCAAAGGGGGTCAGGGAACGCTCCCTTTTCATTGTCACATGACTTGCAAGGCTGCCTTAACAGAGGGTTATACTTTCCCACCCGCTGACAGCAACGTTTGACCAACAGAATGTGAGCAGAACTGAGGTATGCAGTATGTGAGTTTTAAGAGCAGATTGTACCACTCCTGTATAAGAGCTAATTGTTAACATTTCCGGGAACTTGGCAAGTCACTTGTTAGACTGTTTGTAGCCTGAAATCGGCCACAGTGGGAGTGTTCACATCATAGAAATAGAAAACACTACAAATCAGGACTTCTCCTTCTCCCTCAAAGCGGATTTACCAGCTCAGCAGGGAGCACGGCCCAGAAAAGTTCGTCCGTCAGCCTGGAGCCTGGAGAGGTGGCTCAAGCCTGTAATCCCAGCACTTTGGGAGGCCGAGGTGGGTGGATCACGAGGTCAAGAGATCGAGACCATCCCGGTCAACATGGTGAAACCCCGTCTCTACTAAAAATACAAAAAATTAGCTGGGCATGGTGGCGCGTGCCTATAATCCCAGCTACTCAGGAGGCTGAGGCAGGAGAATTGCCTGAACTCAGGAGGCGGAGGTTGCGGTGAGCCGAGATCGCGCCATTGCACTCGAGCCTGGGTAACAAGAGTGAAACTCCGTCTCAAAAAAAAAAAAGAAAAGAAAAGAAAACTGGTGGAGTACTGCGAAAGCTCCCTGCAGCCACAGTAATTCACTTGAGAAATGCACCTTTGAGCCACTGAGTTGCCAGGGTTGCTCCTTACCTGAGCATAATCTAGGCAAAGCTGGTCACACCATGCTGGTGTTTTGGTTAAGACCAACAAGCGCCACCTTCATCTGTCCCGACCTAGGTTAGAGGGATTTCTTCTAATAACTTGTGACATCACGCGCCTGGCGTCTGCAAGGATGCAAACCGCGCTCCGAGACTCCGGCCGGGGGAATCCATCCAGGTCTTGGAAGGTTAACGCAAAGTTGTAAAACAATAGTGACATTTTAACCACACTCAGCTGTTGCGTCATCTTAAAACCCTGGCCAACACAAAGCCTGTCGCTCGCGGACCTTGGTGGCTTCAGAGCGACTCCCCTCCCGCTTTCGGGGGAGGGCCCCACGTGACGGCCCCCCTTTCCCCGCAGACGCGTGAATGGAGCTGTGTCTTTAAGGGGGAAGCGCGGCGGTTTCCGTCCGGGACAAAATGTCAGCGAGGCGCCTGGAGGGGGAGCGGCCGTCGCGGACTCCTGACCCGCCGCCGGCTCCGGCCGCGCTTCGCGGGTGACGGGGTGAGTGTGGGCTTCGAGACTCGGTGGGCGGGCCGGGCCGGGCCGGGCGGCGGGGAGCACAGGTGAGCAGCGCCCGCGGACGCCGCCGCCGGCCTCCCGGGCCCCGTGCGGGGCGTGCCCTTCTCCCAGGCCGCGGCCGCGATCGAGGGGAGGCGGGGGGCCCGGGACCGCGCGGCCAGCCCCGCTCACCGCCTTCCTGCGCCTCGTTCTCGCTCCTTGCCTGCACTCGCCTTTCGACAGGCGTGTAGTGAATGTGGAAACTGCTCGCCACTCTCCAGCTCTGCCTTTATTAAAGTTGTCTGATTGCAGTCTTTCCACTGGGCACAGTGGCTGGGCGCCCTGCAGCGGGTTCTTTCTGTAATTGGGACTCTCTAGATGTCGCCCACTTTTGGGGGCAGAAAGCGAATGGAAGCCAGATGCTTACACCAGAATCCCCACCCCTCCCCCACCCCTCGTGGTCCCCAAACAAAAGAATTTTCCGCTCCTCTCCGAGTCCGCAGGAGCAGTTTATGTGATTTCTTGCGCTAATCAAATGTACGAGGCTTAGTTAGCAAAGCAGAAACCCCCTTTGAAGGAAAAAATACGTACTTGCCACCAGTCGAATTTCTAATTAGCCAAGACTACAAAGATAGGTGTTTAAGAGAAACTGTTGTAGAAACAGCTTAATACATTGACCTAAGTAGCGTAATTATTTTCTGCTTTTTAAATTCATCTATTATTATGACACCTTTTGGAGGCAAGAATAGCTTGAGGCAACCGACAATTTGAAAAAAAAAAAAATGTATACAGCAATACATATTATAAAAAGACTAAAAGCCCAAGCCAGGTAATTCTCAATTTAAAAACTAAATTAAAAAATCTTTGAGTCACAAAGGCCTTCAAAGTAGGGCAGCTTTAAATCCCTATAACTGTGATTAAATTATGCATTTTTACAAAATAAAATGGATTTTGTAAATCCATTGATTTTTAACCACCTTAATTTTTAGAACCATATCTATTAAGCAAAGTAATGCAGGCCTGAAATAAAGGTCCACTTTAAGGGCAGAACACTTAACAATTTTCATTTTAAAAAGTGCATTAACAGAGAGAAAGTGCTTCTTTGCCTTTTAGCTAATGGTAGAAATATCTAAGAGTTTGGCTTATGACATTTAGGAAACATCTCTGATTCACCACATAATTACATGTGAGTCCAGTGTGTTTTTTACAGTCCATATATAACCTTCTTCTAAACTTTTTCACATTTTACTCTTTATTCCCCAACTTACGTTTTACAGCTTGGAGGCATTTTTACTTGTCTTTTAACTTCAGCTAAGCCTTCAGCCTGGTGTCCAGACTCATTTTTCTAATTGTCTGGATCTGTTTATAAATAGATTAATATATGGCAGTAAACTAATAGTTCAGCAGAGATGGACAGATAACAGATGAACTGTGGTTTTCTTGACACTTCAGTTGTCAAGTCTAATTATTTGTATTAATTATTATGTTCTACTTTGATTAAAGTCACTGGTGAAGTAAATGAAAATGTTTTTAGTGTTTCCACATGTCTGTGTGGATTTCACGTTAGTGTGAATTTCTTGTCTAAGATCCAGGCTCAACCAACATATATTTGTTTAAAACTCTGCCTGGATAACCCAACTACAGTGAGTAGCCTTGAGTATGAAAGGACAAATCAATGTGTAATTCATTTGCTATGTCCTTTTGAGAACACTGCCTGGTTCTCTAGCCTTTAGCCTGCCCATATTTTTCGTGTGTGCAAGCATAAGTATAAAATAATACAATTAACTTTTGTGTGTGCTTTATCGGATGATTGTTGATATTATAGCCATACCTTGTTTATATGCCCATATTTATACAGATTATTCATCCAGGTTCTAATCTCTTCCTTTATTCTTTATATTGGTATTCAGGGCCATCATACTGAGGAATCTGGGTTTAATCTGATAGTTTATCAAAAGGACAGAACTTCTTCAGAAATTGAATCAAATGGAGAGATAATTAATGTGAATGTATTGTCTTCCACAGGCTTAGATTTAGAACTCCTTCCAAATAATGAAACTCAGCTATAGTGAGTGCAGAGGCATGGTACCAGCAACACTACTCTCTCTCCTTCCTTGAAATATCTGAAATCTCCATTTGTCTTTTCAGGTTTTTTACCCTGAAATTGCACTCAGAAATTTACACTGTTAATTTCATGTTAGCAGTGCTTTTATTTAGCTTAAAGAAATTTTCTTTTAAATTAGGAGCTTGGATGCCTCATTACACAACTGAGAAATTGGAACTTTATTAGAGTTGAGTACTAAGAGTAACGTGTTTTGGTGTTGGATAACAATGTGTTTGCACCCTGTGGGGCATAGGATGGGAAGGGATGCTGAACTGCATGAACTTGTGTGTTAGGCCCCCAAGACCTCAGCTCCCAGGAGCTGCCCAGGCCAGCGCCTTCCCCGGTGGAGATTATGTGATGGAATTCACCCTAAGGAGTGAGCACTGATTTCAACTTTACCACAGTCTATGAGTATTTTGCTTACACTGCTGATGAAAACATACCTGAGACTGGGTAATATATAAAAGAAAGAGATTTAAAGAACCTACAGTTCCATGTGGCTAGGGAGGCCTCACAATCATGGCGCAAAGCAAAAGGCACTTCTTACGTGGCAACAGCATGAGATAGAATGAGAGTCAAGCGAAAAAGAGTTTTTGTCATTATAAAACCATCAGATCTCATGAGACTTATTCACTACTATGAGAACAGTATGGGAGAAACTGCCCCCATGATTCAATTATCTCCCACTGGGTCCCTCCCACAATATATGGGAACTATGGGAGTACAATTCGAGATGAGATTTGAGTGAGGGCACAGCCAAACCATATCACACAGGCATCAGAATTATTGCTGGCAGCATCTCTTTCCCCATCAGATGGTAAGCTACCTGAGGGCGGAGACTATGTGATGTTCCTCTTGGAATGCCTGGCAGAAAGCACTCGCCTGACCTTAGCAGGTGCTCAATGAGCATTTGAATGAGAGTTGGATGGAGTGGATGGATTTAAGCAAAATACATTCATTGGCACATTTGTATTAGTTTTAAAAAAAAAGTTCAAAGAAAAATTAAGGGAGCTCTTTCTTTTCATTTTCTTATTAGCTAACTACAGAATTAATGGTATACATTCTCCTTTGGTACTTGATAAGGAAGAAATGCATATCACAGGACTTTGGCCAATTAGAACCCCATATTATCTTCTTTTACCTTAGTGATAAGCAAGCTATTTTACATGAAGGTCAATTTACAAAGTTAAAATAAATTTAAGGGGTAAGGGCCTTGGATCTGTTACTTTTTTATTTGTTCTTTGTACTCAAACAATTCCCAAGGGGATTCCTCCAACTTAGACTACTTACTCTGTTGAATAACATGTCAAATGGAAAAATAACTGCCTTTTAGCCACTAAAATCTTAACATGGGCATGTCTGAGCAGTAAATATTGGTAGTTTCTTTTTTGTTCATGCCTTGAATTTATATAACACTGGAGAGTCCAACAGTGACATCATTTGCACTATCTGATCTCAGCCACCTGTTTAGAGTCAAACAATCTTATTATTTCTCTTGACAGCTGGGAAGATTGAGACTCGGGTGGGCGGGGCTAAAGAAACAGAGTCGGGTTCATTTCATTCAATGCAGCATCCCCCAAGTGTCTACCCTGTGCCAGAGAGATGAATGGGATGAGCGCCTCTTCCATGGCATCCTTCGTGTGGATACAGAATCTCCTTCTGCAAGGCGCAGCAAACTACCTGACAATGAGCAGCCCCACCTGCTGGGTCTCCTCTTCCCAGGGGGAAGCGCCGCAGTGGGCTTCCCCATGGGACTGTCCCACTAGTCTCCACAGTTAAGGCTGGGCTGGCCCTGCCTGAGCTCACATGCCTGAGGAGCCAAGGGTGGTTTTGTTTTTTGTTTTTGTTTTTCTGAGACGGAGTTTTGCTCTTGTTGGCTAGGCTGTAGTGCAATCATGGAATCTCAGCTCACTGCAACCTCTGCCTCCCAGGTTCAAGTGAGTCTCCTGCCTCGGCCTCCTGAGTAGCTGAGATTACAGATGCCCACCACCACACCCAGCTAATTTTGTGTATTTTTAGTAGAGATGGGGTTTTGCCAAGTTGGCCAAAATGGTCTCAAACGCCCGACTCAGGTGATCCACCTGCCAGGGCCTCCTAATTATAGGCATAAGCCACCGAGCCCAGCCTCTATTTTTAATTAATGTAGAAATTGCAGCTGGCTGTGGTGGCTCACACCTGTAATCCGAGCACTTTGGGAGGCCAAGGTGGGTGGATCACATGAACCCAGGAGTTCAAGAAAAACCAGCTTGGGCAACATAGGGAGAACCCTGTCTCTACAAAAAATACAAAAATCAGCCAAGTGTGGTGGCATGCACTTGTAATCCCAGCTAGTTGGGAGGCTGAGATAGGAGGATTGCTTCTTGAGCCTGGGAAGCAGAAGTTGCAGTGAGCCGAGATGGCGCCACTGCACTCCAGCCTGGGTGACAGAGCAAGACCGTGTCTCAAAAAAAAAAAAAAAAAAAAAAAAAAAAGGGAAGGAAAGAAAGAAGAAATGGCCAGACTGCATTCCTAAAATCCATCCCATCTTTACTAGTAATTAAGAGGTGTGCCTTTTCTCTACCTCCCTTGTAACTCTGGCTGATAGGCCTCTTAATGTTTCTGGGTGTGATAGATGTAAAATGATACTTTATTGCTACCTTAATAGCATTTCCCTGAATATAAGTGATGTTGTGCACCTTGTCACGAACTTCCTGGCCATTCGAGTTTGCTGTTAGGTCATTTGCCTACTCATATTTCTTGTCTGTTTTTCTATCAGGTTCTTTGTCTTTTTATTGTCAGTTTGAAGAGCTCTTTGTGTGTTAGGGTTGTGGCTGAAGAGTCTGAAGAGACCTTTCCCCCTCCACACTGCAGGGGCATCTGAAATACACTCTGATTGTTTAGCAGAGCTAATCAGGCTGTTACGGCCTGTGGCCATAGACTGCTGGTCACTCTGTAGATACTGAGACTGAGGACTGTATGGAGCTAGAATACAGCCGCATGGTGTGGAGGTCTGAGAAGGTGAGGCAGTTCTGCCCCGTGCTGCCTTCTACCGGTTAAGACCTCCAAAATGGAAGGGCTGCCCAGGCAGAGGATGTCCCCCTGCCACCTTTGGAGGGGCAGTGCTGTGCTGGCCAACATTTGTGATGCTGCTTGTCCCTGGCTCAGGGGAGGTCAAAGGATGAAGACGTCACAGTCAGTGCTTCTCACCCTTCTGCCCACTTTAACTCCTAACAGATGGCATTCACCTGTGCAACACTCCCTCTCGGCATTGTAGTTTTTAAAGAAACTCAGGAAAAAGCATGACAGTAATTGGTCACCTCCGGCACTATTAGGGGCACATTAGTAAGGATGACTCTCAGACTTTGGCACAAGGAAGAGAATCTGTGGGTTTATGTGCAGCTTCCAAGCTTAACTCAAGAAAGCATATCAGAATGCAAAGCAATACTATGTTATAGGAAACATTTACATCTTTTTAAATTGATAAGCCAGTCACAAAGATTCATTATAATAGTCTCTCTACTTTTGTGTATGTCCAGTAATAAAAAAAGGACCTCAGGAAAGATCAGATTCAATACAGAAGGAAATAGAAATTTGTAAAAAGAAAAAAGTGTAGGAAAAATTCTAGGTAAAGTTAGATAATTTAAAATGTTTGTAACACTTAAATCTTACTGTTTACCAACCATAATGTTACATAACCATAATACTTACTGGCCATAAAAATATTATCCTTAAAACTGATTTAGCCTTTAATTTCTAAAGATTTTTTATGCTAATTGGTCTTTATCATGGGTGACCATATTTAAATCAATGCCTGTGTCTCAAAAGACATGTAAATTGCCATTTCTTTGTTAGAAGATACATGGTACTTGTGTTTTTTTGATGAGTCTGGTATATTTGTTATCTTTTTTAAAAAATAAGAGACATATTAAATGTCATGCCTGATCCAGAGTAGACTTACTTGGTGGGAAGAAGAATACTTACATTTCAAAAAGTACAGTCCATCTGTAACAAGACTATTAGCAACTGAATTCATAGCTTACACTAAATGCTCCTATTACTATAGCAGCTTATTTTTCCTAGTCTCATCTTTGTATTCAGTTTTTCCCAGTTGTGTTTAACAAGAAAGACTCTGGAACTTTGTCATCTCCACTGCTGCTGGTTCAAAATCTGACGGTATGAGCAAAATTGATCTCACTGTGCCTGGGTCTCACCTTGGCCTTGATTTTCTCCCTGAGATAAGTTCTCAGAAGAGCTCAAGAAGTCTGTCGTGTGTTTTCTTCTCATTGTTTTTCAACTTTCAAAGCAAATTTATCTAGAATCACACATTTGGTCCTTTGTGAACTTATTTCCTAAAGAATAAACCTCTCCTTTTCCTGTATTCCCTTTTCTTTGATAGGTTATTGCAGTGGAGAATTATTTTCCTAATAAAAAAGCCTGTGCAGTGATAGTCATTGCATTATGTTTGGATCCCTTTAACAGATTTTGTGTTGAACAAGACATTATTACTTTTATCTTTTTCTTTCTTAACTAAAAGTATTGACCAAACTCTGTATCTTGCAAATATGTAGAGGGGACCTTTTAGTTAAAATGAACAATAAAGAAAACTAATTTTATTTGTTTTACGCCTAGAGTATCTATGAAAGCGTTAGAAAAAGTGAACGGAGAATGGCGCTGGTCAGTATTTCTGGTATCTACCTTTAAGGTGGTTTGAATGCATTTCTTTACTGGCCTGCCTGTCCTCTGAATTTACTCCTAGCACTGCTGATGGTTCCTCAGAACTCAGGAATCGTGCTGCATGCATTTTTTCTACCCCTGGCATCTGAGAGGGCTGGAAACCCTGAGGCAATGACGGGGACCCCAGAGTCCTTGGGAAATGACCCACTGTCTTAATTTAAAGGTAAAAATTTAGAATGCTGCTTTGGATATTGCCATTTCCTCAATGTGCATATTTTTAAAGCACAGCTTTCAATATTGCCAGTTTTCTCACACGTAGATTCTTTTTAATAATCCCAGAAACAGATACTTTTATCTTGAAAAACATACAGTCATTGAAAGCTTTTTTAAAAGGCTGTTCAGGAGTGGCTCTTCCACTCCTGAAGTTTAAGAAACAAAATTTTCATTCCCAAAGCTTTCTTAACCCAGAGAAGACTACAGAAGGCAGCCTGGGTGGTATTCCGAAGACAATACCTTTTCGTCGTTCTTGTTAAGAAAGCAACAACGTTGTTGTGGTTAAAGCTAATGCCTAGACACAGCACAGAGTTAGCTAGTTCTTTCTGTTGAAGCAGCTTAGCCTCCCGCTATTAGTATAAACACTTGTTGACTGGGGACCCACTTGATTTCAAAGAGGATTCCTAGTATAGGAAGGGCTATACAGTTTTTTTCCTGAGGAATCAATCAACACTCGATACTGAAGGATTAGAAAGAAACCTAGACATCGTCCCACACTATAGGATTTTTATCGTAAGAAAATGGAGGGCGGCATGGTTTCTCAGGCTAACTGTAGTCTGGAGCTGTGCGCGTGATCCTAACATGATTACTCTTCCCCTGCTCCCCAGCGTGCTGGCGCCGCAGAATGAGGAGTGGCGAGCCGGCCCGCACCATGGACGAGGCCAGCGGGCGGGACGACGCGGCGGCGCGGGGCGGTCCGTGTCCGGGACTGGGGCCGGCGCCGACGCCTCCCGGCCGCCTGGGGGCGCCGTACTCCGAAGCCTGGGGCTACTTCCACCTCGCCCCGGCGCGCCCCGGGCACCCGTCGGGCCACTGGGCCACCTGCCGTCTGTGCGGGGAGCAGGTGGGCCGCGGCCCCGGCTTCCACGCGGGGACCTCGGCGCTGTGGCGGCACCTGAAGACTGCGCACCGGCGGGAGCTGGAGAGCAGCGGCCCCCGACGCTCGCCACCGGCCGCGCCCAGCCCGCCGCCACCCGGTCCTGCCGCGGCCCCTGAGGGCGACTGGGCGCGCCTGCTGGAGCAGATGGGCGCGCTGGCCGTGCGCGGCAGCCGGTGGGAACGGGAGCTGGAGCGGCGCGAGGCGGCCGTGGAGCTCGGCGAGCGCGCCCTGGAGCGGAGGCGGAGGGCGCTGCAGGAGGAGGAGCGCGCCGCGGCCCAGGCGCGCCGGGAGCTGCAGGCCGAGCGGGAGGCGCTGCAGGCGCGGCTGCGGGAGGTGAGCCGCCGAGAGGGCGCCCTGGGCTGGGCCCCAGCCGCGCCGCTGCTCAAGGACGAGCCCGAGGCGGAGCGGGACGGCTGCGTCATCACGAAGGTTCTCCTGTAGGGGACTGGCCACTTCCCAACCCCAGCCCGTCTCTTCTCCGACGGGACCGAGGCGGGCCCGCAGCCGCTACTCACTCGGAAGCTCCCGCTAACTGTAGGGCTTTCCTCGCCCTAAGGCTTCAGCTTAAGAAGCATTTCAAAGCCAAAGCAGAAGCAAAACTCACCTCCACGGGGTGGTCACCTGAGGTGCCTGGGTAGTCTTTCGTGGGCATGCATCCAGAGGATGGGGTGGCACATGGGACACCGGAGAGCTCCAGCAGCTCCGTGAACCCACAGCACCCCGTGTCATGACGGCTTAGGGTTGGGAACCTGAACCTGGTGACTTTGAAAGGACAGAGCTTCATTGCATACCAAAGACTTGTCATACCACGTGCCTATACACCCAGCCCAAGGTAGAGGGTGCGCGGAAATGAGAACGTTTTTTACCCCCAAAAAGAGTTCCTAATGCATAATCTGCCCAACACCAAGTTCTGAAGGGGGAAGAGGGGAACATCCCCTCTAGTTTCCGTGACTGCTCTAGACCCGCATCATCTCTAGCCCTCTTCGGGGCAGCCCCAGAGAGCCCCCCCTTTTTACTCCCCGTTATTCAACCAATACCAGGTGCACTCTGTCTCCCCTCGGCCATCCTTTCCTTGCTTCTGACCCAATGACAAGTGTGGCACCTATGTCCACTTTCGAGCCTCATATCTGCCACCTTGGCAAGACATCACCTCATCCCCTTGTCACTAGGAAGAGCGGTTTTTTTCCCTACATGTTGTCATAGTCCTCACCTCTGGGCCAAAGGAGAAAATAACCCTCCCACTTAAGGCCACATCTTCCTGTCATTTTCCATCCCATTCCTCTGCCACGTTTACTGGGTCTTTCCTCCAGTTATTCCCCCTATCTCTGTCTCAGTCCCTCCCTTTCCCCCAGGCTCTTCCTCAGCAATGCTCAGTCTCCCTCTCTTACTGAAAAGACTCAACCCGGAAGGGCCAACAAGTCCTTGCCGCCTGTACTTCCTCCCGTTTTTACTCCTTCACTCGGGGTCAGTTTTCTGTGCTACACTGGACCATTTCCAAGCCGCCACAATCTCCCAGTGACCAAATAATGGTGGTCTGTTTGCTGTCTTCATTTTGCTTAATCTCTCCCTTCTTGAAATTGCTCCCTTGGTAGGTGGATCCTGTTTTCCTCCAAAGAATTCCTTTTCCTGTTGTGTACTGGTTCTCAGTTTTTCCACAGGCCTCTTTTTCTCATTTTTTTTTTTTATACTGAAAAATTCCACACATTCAGAAAAAGTTGAAAGGCTAGTACAATGAATACTAAGATACATACCCTCCACCTGGATTGAATGGTTGCTAACATTTTGCCAGATTTACTGTTCTCTCCACCTCATGCATGTGTACATATAATGACATTTCACCCCTGTTTCCGCGCAGATTTCCTTTGAACAAAGACATGCCTAAAAATATAAACAGTAACTTCTTTATAGCCTCTAATATAGTGCCCTTAATCAGTGTTCAACAACTATCTCCAGAATGTTTGTCTTTAAAAAGAAAAAAATCTACCACCAGGTCAAATCAAGGTTCATACATTCTTTTGGTTTCAACTCTGTCGTCACTTTTAGTCTAGAACAACCCCAACGTATTTTCCCATGACACTTTTGAAGCATCCAGGCCAGCTGTCTTAGCAAATGTCCTCTATTCCGGATGTGTCTGATGCTTCCTTAGGCCTATGTCTACACTCCACTTGTGGCACATCCCCCTGCAGAGTTGTAACCTCCTCTAGGCCAGGGAGTGTTGAGTATCTCCAGGCCGAGTGTTCTCCCCGGGGCTGGTCCTTCATGCCCAAACCCTTGCTGCATGTCTCCATTTGTCCTTGCACCTCTTGCCTCTACAAGTAGGAGGACCAAATCTATTCAACCCCACATCCCACCCCTCACCTAGTAACTAACATTTACGGGGCACTAACAATGTATGGGACACATACTACACATTTAACATGCATTATCTCATTTTACTCTCACACAGCAGCTCCATGGTTAACACTGCTAGCTTTACAGCTAAGGAAACTGAGCTAGAAAGGGGTTAAGTAGACTGTGCAAGACCACAGCTGGCCAGCAGTAGAAGTGGATCCCACTGTACACAGTCTCCCCCACAGATGCCATGCTGCCACTGTACCACCATGTACTACTTTCGGAGAGCTCTGCTTCCCTCAGTCTATGCAGGTGACACCTGTTTCCTTCCTAACTCCAACTAATTAATTCGTTAATTGGATTGACTGGAATTAGTGACATTAATATTTACTGAGCATTCACCATGCGTCATCAGAGGTGTGCTAAATGCTTTACTACAACAATTACCTGCCATGAATTAACCCCATGACATAGGTACTACTATGCCCATTTTGTAGGTAAGTTCAGGGGAGTTAGTAACACCTTCAAGTCATAACAGTGGCTAAGAGTCTGTGTGGGGTTTGAACTGTGGTCTCACTGCATGCTGGGTGCCTGCTCTGCTAATATTTGTACAAAATACTGCAGTGCCTTCCTGATACCTGCCAAGCTCAGGGCCCATTTATCATGCATCTTCCCATCCTTGTTTCGCCCAACTGTCCCTTACCTGATTCACAATTTGGCCAAAGCCAAAGGGATTGTCCTAGGCCAATATTGATTTATTGTATCTCTCTTCCTGCCCAAAGGCCTCCAAGGTCACCTGTCAATCACCTCCTTATTAGAGTGCAAGCTCTGACTCCGTCACGTGACATTCAAGTCCCCCTGGGCCCCCGTGCCAGTCTTATTGTCCCCTCCCCTACATATGCTCTATGCTCCAGCCTAATTGGACTGCTCTTCCTGACATGACCTGGTATTGGCAACTCTATGCCTCAATTTGCTTTCCCTCCACTTTAAAAAGCCCCTTCAGTCTCTTGGTACAAAAAAAGAAAAATCCCACCATTTTCTAAAACCACGCTTTCCTTGATTTACTCTCACGTGAAGACATTTCTTACTTCTCTGGTCTCCTAGCATTTTATGTTCCACAACCCTCAGGACAGGTCAGCTAGTGTATGGCTATGGGTTTGCATCTTGCCTCCCCTGCCAGACCCTGAGCCCTTGGGGGAAGTATACTCACCCCACTCCCACAGTGCCTTGCAGTCCATAGCTGCTCAATACATATTAGAGGTGCTGAACCCATTCAGTGTCGAAGATTTTTACAAGTTAGTTTTCCTGTAATTATTAATATAATCATTTATCTTCAATTCTGAGTAAAAAAAAAAATACCTTAAAAGGAAATCATTTTTAAACTGTTTAGTCAGTAAAGATTTAATGCATCAGTTATTAGGCTGTTTGGTTTGAATCCAATCAACCAACTATTCTGATATGTAAATGTACTTTGTTATTATACAAGTAACACAAAATGTATTGCCTCAATCTAGGAAGGAGAACAGAAAAAATACCCCAAAGTCCTGTCACCTCTGTAAAACTGCTATTAACATTTTAATAGCATTTAATCTTTTGTCTTTTGCAATTTTTACATTACTCTAGTAATAGTATAAGTTATTTTCAAGTACTGGAATTTAACTTCTCCATATAGAATTATAAATTGAGCTAGATGATCTGAATTTCCTGTTTAGAAGGGGAAAAAAAAAAACCTTCCACAAATGTTAATCTTCGATTTCATCAATTGTAAAAACCATTAAAACATAGCAAAGATTTACTTTTAGAGTCTTACTCCCTCAAAGATGGCTAGTGTGAGCCTGAATGTCCTGTTGAGGAGATAGGAGAGAACAATTAACCTGAGTGCTGAGTTAAGGGAAGAGGTTTTTACTTTCTGCTTTATACACTTCTGCCTTGTAATTTTTTACGCTAAGTATGAATTACTTTTATGATTTAAAAAAATTGTTTGCAGACAAAAAAAAAAATCCTTTCCTTCAGCATTCATCTTCCTTAGTTAAAATCTCCAACAGAGGCATGAATATAATCCCCATTTCCAGAACATCCTAGATAGTAATGCAGCCCTTGTCCACCAACGCCATCATTTGACAGATGAGGTAAACAGGTCCCAGAGAGTGACTTGTCCACTGTCAGGAGATGGTGGCTCTGGCCTGTCATCTGACTCCAGCCTACTTAATGGGTTTCTGCCTCTGGCCTTGAGGGCTCCTACTGCTCACCTGAAACCATTCCCATGGAACCCAGAAGAGCAGGTTCCCTAGGAGGATTCCTGAGAAAACCTACACACAAGCCTCAGAGATCTGCCAAGACATTCCCTTTCCAATAGAACTATTTAATATTTTTCTATCAAATAGTTGCCAAATGAGCTGCTCCTGTCAAAACTCAATATGACTTGTGACTACAAAGTAATCTGATGAATCCCAGAGGTATATACAAATCTACCCATCTAAGTTATTTTCTCTTCAAAGTTGAAGATCTGGAAGACTATAGTTATTCCCAAAGTGCTTAAACATTTCTGGAACTCCTCTTTTAGAGTGGCCATGAGTCCCAAGCACATTTTTAAAAACATCCTTGAGTTGGCAAATACTCATCTTTCCATGATAAATTTGATTTTTTAAAAGAGCTGCCAGTTACTCAGAGTCTGGTGAATATGGTAGATGATTACCAGATTAACATTTCTGGTTAATAAGGTGAGATTATAATAAAACAATGATAATTATTTTAGTGTGGCTCATAAATTGGTCTTGATAGTGGTATATTAAGGTTAAGTAAAGGCAGCATGGTCACTGTAGAGATTAAAGCCCATTTTAGTTGGTTTATGATGTGAATGAATTCAGGTAGCACTGGGAGTCGTTATATGTTTAAACAGTATTAAATGTTTCTTTTTATGAAAATCTTAATTATGACATTCTCTGAAATCTGGTTTCACAGTATTAAAATGAGGCTTTAAGGAAAAACATTAAATGGTAATGAAAGCTTTATTCTTTGAGTATATATTCTCATGGGCTTTTGGTCAAGATAAGTAATGACCAGATGAATGAGCTGGCAACCTTCTGCCCTCTGAAGTCTATTAGTAATTGGAAGCTAAGTAAAACGTTGTCACATGTTTAAATACGTTTGATAATATTCCACAGCTTCTCCCTGTATTCTTCATGCTGGGCAATGAAATACCATAGCATTTTAACATAGATGAAGAGTGAGTCTTTTAAAGGAAGAATTCCCAAAAGTCATTCTTGGCTGGGCATGGTAGCTCAGGCCTATGATCCCAGTACATTGGGAGGGCCAAGGTGGGAGGATTACCTGAGCCTAGGAGTTCAAGACCAGCCTAGGCAACATAGGGATACCCCATATCTACAAAAAAATTAAAGTTTTTAGCCAGATGTGCTAGTACATACTTGTCATCCCAGCTACTCAGGAGGCTGAGGTGGAAGGATCACTTGAGCCCAGGAGGTAGAGGCTGCAGTGAGCTCTGACCATGCCACTGCATTCTGGAGCCTGGACAATAGAGGAAGACCTTGTCTCAAAAAA